ACGATACTGATACGAAGGCTGCAGCAGTCATGAATCTGGCATAACTTTGGCACGCTATCCGGCAACACTGGGAGACGGGACCGACCCCGCACCTGAGCCTAAATGAACGACAGCTAATGCATCTATAATGCACCGATGCACCAATATTATGGTGAAATGGTGCATCGCAAGCAACAAGTCGCTTTTCGTCATCTACGAGTCAATATCTTTCTTATGGTTGGTCTGTTCCCTCCGAAAACACCCCCAGAAGCGGCTATCTGGGGGGGGGGGGGGACCGAGTGAAATTCACATCTTCAAAAAGCGACATTCAGTATTCTCCATTATCCAGGGTAGATGGCGCTTTAAATTTGCTGGAGCGATTCTGTGTTGAGAGAGGAAGAAACATGGTCAATTCGGTTCCTCCAAATACTCTCAGAGGAGTATTATACGAAGAGGTTGAATATTGTTACTGGAAGGGGTTGAAGAAAGGTAATAGGCGCAACCAAAGCCTATTGACTTCTCTCATTAATATAACATATTAATTTAGTAAGCATGTTTAAATTTATTGTCCTTTTGGCTCACGGACTAAAGTCTTCAGCTACTTCGCCGAAGTTTTACTCACTCACGCAAACCGTTATTTTCGCCACCCTCTCTTGAGTTCATGAGTGCCACAATGTCGGGTATTGCTTAAGATCGAGATATCCCATGTCCTCATGTCCGATGGTTTCGACAGTCTGTATGTGAGAATCATTTCACTCTAAAAATCATTTCTCTCCTATGACGCCGTAAAGGCTGCATTTTATGCCATGTCCTCGTGGTATCACTACGTGATACTACGACGGATGACTGTTGTAGTATTCTATGACGTAGAATACTACGACAAGAACAATGCATAAATATCAGCCTTTATGACGTCAAAGGAGAGAAATCCTTTGAGCAGTGCTGAAACCATCCACCTCTTGCGCGGAAAAGGTACGTTTTACGACTCCACTTTGAATTACTGTCTTTAAAAAAATACAACTTACTGTACGTGAAACTTTCTAACTTACTAACAACGTGAAACTTTCAGGAAACAAATTTTGCAGTGTTTTCAATGTGGTACGAAAAAAATCACGATCCTAGGTGACCCATAGCGGGTTTTATAAATCATCAAACAGAACGCTTTCTTTGCGCCATCCGATACATTCAGACGTCTTACGGATCACTTTTTAGGGCCTTCGTGGAGAAATGCTGAAGACGACGTGAAACACCCATAAGACGTCCCAAAAGTGTCCATTATGGGACAGTCCTTAGGTACTAGGTTGGATACTACCCCATTAGCACCAGCACATCCTCGGGAAGTCCTTCGGACATCCTTTGTAGCATCGTTGCAAGTCCCGTGAAAGTATTCGGCATTATTCCTGTGTACATCCCGATATCATTTACCTGGGACGTCTCATGGTCATTCGCATAACTTTCTGGGATGTTTGATACGAAATCTTTATGGCTGTTTGTCCTTCTTCTCCTCGTAGCTTCAACGAAATATATTATGCACTTTCTCAGACAAGTCACGGGAACAAACGCTTTCATGCATAAATTAGGGAGTCCCCTCGTGCGACGGAGTGAATAAGCACACCAGACACTCGGAATCTTGCTGGGACGGCGATCACATTTCTGGGTCAACAAGGGGAAGTCCATATGAGACATCCTGAAAGTCTCCCAAGAGATGTTCTACTGCAGGACCTAATTCAATCAAGAATTCCAAGCACTCCCTCAGATCCAAGGACAGATGCGAGTCACCACAACAGCGGGTCAGTCCCTGATACCATTTACTTCTCGGTATTGATTATTTTCAAACGGAAAACTTGGAGGAAGAAATTGGAATTCCTGATAGCATTTGCCTGAAGAGGTAACATAGTCCAGGGAGACTCCAGGCGAGTCTGGCCCAGAGGATGGAGGAAGGAGTCTTCAATGAAGAATCTCATTCCATGGGGGAAAGTTAGAGTTTGGTCTATGCCCATCACATAGGAACAAGCATATCTGACAGTATGGTCTGACTGACTCCTGAAGGAGAAAGATTCCATCGAGAAAAAGAATATCGTTTCAGGAATTTCATCAAGCACGCTATTTCTTCGCGAGAAAGAACCCCATTTGTGACAGATATCACAAAAGAATTCGTTTCCTGCGAGAGAAAAATTAATCTCGGAGACAATCGAAGAAAGATGCAACTCGCTGGAGGACTTGTTCAGGAGTGATGCTTAATGCATTCAAGGGACATAGCCATGCGCAAAAAGGTCCTGCAAGGGATCTCCAAAAGACCTCCCACGGATGTGCTGATGCTCGAGGGTAGACCTCGTAGCCGGTGGAACGACTTTGCTGAGATGTCTTGTCACTTGAGTCTCAACATGCAGGCTACCAGGCTTGGATGCATTTTTAGTGGACCTCCGTTCTTGATTGGAAAGAGACCACTTACAGTCCTGTCCTGTCTGTGTCAGTGTGCCTCACACTTAGGTTGACCGACAATAACTTAGATAATATTGGTCTGACCACTGTGAAAATTGGTATGCAAATAGATTTGGACAAGAAACTGGCTAAATTCTTTTTAGGACGAACACAAATCGAAAACAAAATTTTCGTCGTAAATTACTAGTATTACATTTGAATTTGCTCACAGCGATAAAGGCACAAGCAACCGGTAGCCTTCCTGGGTTTCGCTCTCGAGGCGCACGCTCATCTCAACTCCTAGCTGTCACCAGCCGGAGGTGTTAGTTCCCTTCCAGTCGTTGTACCTCACGTATCCATTGTTGACAAACGAAGAGAGGGCCAAGACATGGCAACAAGGACAGGGTTGCTTAACTGGGATTGTCTTCTTGTCCAGATTAGGAACTGAGGACGCTCCTCCGCCTGCTTCAATTGCTGCTCCATCAGTTGGACTGGCTGCTCTTAACTTTGAATGAATGAGAGGATAAACGGAAAAGGGCGATGACGATTGCCTCAGGCATATACACAGGAAGGCCTACTGACGACGATATGAACGGTGTCGGATACTCCCTTGACAAGAACGACAGCCCGAACTCAATCAGGCCTAGGAAGGCTGCCATAGTGCTAAGACTCCGGGACAGGTCCGAAAGTAGCAGCTCAACTGGACACTACTGCGAACTGGCACCCAACCACTACAGTATGCCCTGTTAGAACTCAGTGCGCCCCAGTCCTGCTGCTATAATATTGGTAACTGATGTTCCAGATCATAGACAGGCTATATCCTTCTACAGTACTGCGGGTACGGAGGTCACGCGGGTACTGAGGCCCCATTTGGCGTTTCACTGTCACCCATCATATCATGGATGCGCCTTTAATGTACGAAGGGTACTCGATGAATAATTCGCAAAATGCAATTAAAGACTAGCATAGAAGGTAGATGCTAATCCCCGGAGTTTATTTTTCCTCATAACCACCCGTACACTATGACACTTGCCCAAGTTGTGCAAAAGTTTTCTTCTGCCACTAGCATCCCTAACGAAAAGTCCTATAGGAATCGTATCGGTGTTTTAAACCCCAAAAAAACCTATAGGATTCCCACAGAAAGAAACCTAAGGGATAGGCCAGGGATAGGATATACAGTACCTCAATAGGGGCGCCAAGCTCTGTCCCAGGTACGCCAAGTTGAGTGCCTCTCCCCCTCTCCCAACCTCATGTTAAATACTCCACTGGTTCTGCCAGTGCATGGGCCTGGCTCCAGAAATTCAGCAAGGATCACACTGGACACGTCCCAGACGTGCAATTAGCCGTACACGAATGGCTTCAGTGCCAGGTCATATCGTTAGATGCCTCTAGCATGCGCAAGCTTGTACATAGGTGAGACAAGTGTCTTAATGTAGGGGAAGTTGGGGGATTGCCAAACGTCTGGTGATACCGAACGCAGGCGTGTTGATTGACACTAGATAGCAAAGATATGATACATATGCCAAAAGGCCTTGACAGAAAGAAGCGTGACAGGTGGCTTCAACGTACGTTGAGCTACATTTACGTCGCTATGTTACCTTTTTGCAGCGTCGCCTGTAAGATTTGCACGATTTATTGGGAAGTTTATTCTCTGCAATACTCGAGACTTGGATTCTCCTTTCATTAAAAGGTTTCACCAGTACCTACTTAGACTAAAATCAGCAATGTTCACCTCTTCATTCCCACTGGCCGCGTGTAAATATCGAAGGCGCACATGAGGGGAAATGGGGAACGACGCCGTTCGGCATGACCCCTATAGCATCCAACAATAACGTCGTTGCTCTGTGGCCTTTGTTTTCGAAAAGTTAGCCACATAAATCGATCGTGTCTTTTCCCTCCGTTTTAGAAGGAGCGAACCTACTACAGGCAGGGTCACGTGCATTGATGCCTTGTGTCACGAAGCGTGCACTGACGGGAAGTGGACTAACCGTGGTCATGCGTGTGATGGTTGCCGAGGTCGCAGGCAACCGTGAGCGTTCGGTATTCCCAGATGGTTCGGGGTAATACCGAACAAGACTATTTTTTGCATTCTTGGAACTCAACATCAGTATTCATTATTAGTTTTGAAAGTACGAACTTTGTACTTTGTAAAAATAATTATTTGAAAAAAAAAGTAAGCTTCGTTTATAAGAAATATGTGATGGTTATTCTTTAAGCATTCGGCATTCCCGACTTCCCCTAAAAGGGAATTATGTGCTTAAGTAAATTCCGAGGATTACCATCGCGTGCCTGTCTGCAGTTTCATTTCATGAATTATTTTTCTTAGGGCCCCTCATACGTGCCTGCATGCGCCTGTTGTTAATCCATGGCCAATAGGACCGACTGGGGTCCACATCGATCAGCAATTTCAGGGTAGGACTTAGCCTTTTTTCCTTTCCACCTTGGTGAGACGCGGTAGAAATGGGGTGCAACTCGTCTCAGCTGAATGCGCTGGGGAATGGGGACATCTTTTATTCAAGTAAGAACAAGGACAAGGAATCTTAGAGAGAACGCATTTTGAAATAATCCCTCTTGCATCTGTATAATAAGAGTCGCCTTCGTCAGTCTGTCTGTTCTGCCCGCCAGGGGCCTGCGCGGGTGGTTTTTCCCTCTTCCAACCCGATCGCCCCGACCCGATCAGACCCGACCAGAAACTCGATCGCCGGACCGAGCTCTACGGACCCGACCCGGGGCCGTCGCGTCGGGCCGATCGGGCCTGTCCGCAGCCCGCTTGGGCCTCTAATCTTCAGAACTCGAGGTGTCTTAGTACGTCTTTCATCTAAGCGGCTCTGCTGGTTCTGCAGACGCTTCCAGCATTCCATGACGTCACATTCGTGACGGCCTGATCGGCGCTTTCACGGTTCGATACGTTCTGCAAGCAGCAGCTTTCCCGAGAGTGACGTCCTTTAGTAACGGGATCGTGTCGACCGCTGACGGAAGGGAGTGTCTTATTTACCAGCAGCTGTAAGCAGCTGAAGAAAAAGACACGGCCTCTGATTCGCCTCATCCGACCGGAAACTCGATTGTCAACCGAGCCGCACGTCCGATGGTGGGTCGGTCAAATAGAGTCGATTTGCATCCCGTGCACGGCTCTATATCGATCCCTATTCTTCATTCAATACCCGGGTGTTCGAAATTGGATGGGCATGTCTCACTCGAATGTGGCGGGGCGGGATTCCCTGAAAATTTCCATGCAGACAATTGATGATTCCCTAATAATGGGATAACTCTTACTATTGGGTTGGAAAGAAAGTCTTGCAACACTCTGCGCAAAAGTTTCAAAATTTTATAACTTTATTGAAATGCAATTTCAGTATACAATGTAATGACCATTGTTTTCTATGACATGTTCCCAACGCACGGGTAACTGCTCGATGCCCTTTGCCTAGAACTCTGGCGATTGCGAAGCGAAGAAACGGCCAACATCATTTTCGAACTGTGCTCTATCGTCGAAGGCCTTGTACCGCAGGTGATTCTTGAGGGCCTATGGCCATATGGGTGACTCCAAGTGTAGTCGCCAATTCGTGAGTGGTGGCGTTCGGCTTCGCGTTGAAGGCGTTCCGCAGGGCTTCGTCAGAAAGTGTTGCAAGACTTTCTTTCCAACCCAATATTTATCCAGAGTTTGGCTTCGCTTAACATCGTAAATGTTTTTTTGCGCCAAATGAAATCAGAAAAACGGGCAGAAATTAATTTTGTACCGAATGGCATGAGAAGAAGGGGGATATGGGGCAACGATGCGATGCAGAATCTAATTATTAATGCATGAGTTGATCTGGGAACTCCTCGCCCGCTGGTCGGATCCGAGCGACATGGTTGTCGATGGAAAGCTTGGACCCTCGGAAAGATTAGTCTAATTTTCGTTGCGTTACTCTGAGGGAGCAACGACTGATAAACGGTCGCAAATATCGTGTTAGGTCGGTGGCTATGTTGGGAGTACGCTTGGCTTCCGCGACGGGGGAACCGGACGAAAGACCGACAGTCTGACGAATTTTTTTTCCTCGTGCACACCCCGTGTTTGTAATGGGGGGCCCTTCAGCACTCGGCAGTCCCGTCTCCAAGTGTGGGTCGTTGAGGAACCCCAGTGTTGAAGACCGAACCCGAGTCCCATGTCTCCGGAGAGCACGAGAGTGAAATTGGGTCTTCCACCCAGTCAACAATTTATCACCTGGCCATCGATGGCTTTTCGTCGACGTGTGTATAAGCCTTAGTTGGACCATCACTAGCATATGGTTGGCTTACGGTTGGTTTAAGCCAGCTTATGGTCGGGCATGTCCTACTGGCCCTTCATCGGACTAACTTCGGCTCATTATTGGGAGACCGCACATTCCCGAACCATAAGCCGACTTTTCACAATGGTGAAAAGGTATTGGGAAAAAACTAACATTAACTGCATCGACAGCATTATGAATCTTGGAGAGATAGGAAAACATCCTTTGGCACCCTACTGTTCCTCCATCTGGGATAGATGAAGGAGCAGTAGGGGGCGGACGGAAGCGACGGTCGCGTAGCTTATAGTGGAAAGTAGAAGGATCCTCCCACGGACCTCATGGCTGGAATTTCCTCGTTTATTCCAGGGCTAGGTTACACCTTCAGAGAAATGTTTCAAGGAATTCAATTGTCTTCCTCTGAGATCCATTTGAGAAACCATAGGGAACCGAAAACTATTTTAAAAGAACTATAGAGAACTATAAAGAACTATAAAAATCTTATGAGATTCTTATACGAATCCTATAGGATCCTTCAGGAATCCTATGTGATTTTTATGTTCCAAAAATCTTATAGGATTTTTCCGTAAGGGAGAATTACACCTTTTGTTTCCTCTTCCATCAACCCCCATATATTTTCCCTTCCGCTTCTCTATCCTTGATGTGGAGTGGAACATTACAGTATATCTTGGCCTCTACGGCCTTTCCAGCCTTTCCTCGTAATTTGTTGGAACCTCAGCAACCACAAGGATGAACTTCCCTCGATGAGTCCCTTTTTCTCAGCGCACGTTATTTCGTCTAGAGATAAGTGGACACACGGAAAGAAAGGTACGAGGATACATGGTCCCACTAGTCTGAAGAAGGGAGGGACAAAAAGTTGCTGCGACACTTGGTCGAATGGTCCATGGCCTATTCAGTCTAAACGCCTATTAGTGTCACGCGGCCGAGAGATCGGCCGACCGTAGCAGCGCGACCATGAGCCTCACAACAGGAGGCTTAAAGTGCATCACGTCTTGTCGTCCGTAAAGAAATTCGGCTGGCAAGGAGGAAGTGGATAATAGGACAGTAATTCGCTTATACAGGGTGGTGCAAAATACATGCCCCCCCCCCCTACCTCCAGACAAAGCCTGCAGTGTTTGGCAAAAAAATTACCCTTTTTATCCTATAACACATTATTATGTGCAAACCTTAAACTCTGTGTTACCAACACGTGTCTTTAAAATGGTTTGATTCTTTCCAAATCAACATCACCTTTCAGTGTGTGAAACACCATCATTACCCATTCAGTACAGCAACGTTGCGTCAACACTGAACAAAGGTTGATTTTGCAACATATTGAAACACAGCTAAACGTTGAGGAACTGCCGCTGTGCAACGTTGTGTCAACGATGAATTGTCAACGTTTGGGCATTACAGTACCTCCTCCATTTCTTGAGTCTGAAAGAAAGTTGAGTACTTGATTGACGCAACTCTCTCTGTCCAGCAAGGATATGTCTCGAAGGACATGTCTCGACATGTCAACCTGATATCAATGTTGACACAACGTTGCTGTGCCGAATGGGTAGTTTTTCTTTCATAATCTCAACTGAAAATTGATTGTTTCGTTCTTCATCCACTCGATCCTCCCCAATTGATCCAACAGACGTGCAAACATTTTGATTAGGTTAACTCCCAGGCCATTCTTCATATCCAATGAAGTCAAAGCCGTTTTGCCGTATCTTCTGAACCATAAATTTCTGTCCTGTTGGCTTCGTGCAATGATGAGAACTTCAGGGATCGAAAACTCAGAATCAATATTGCTTAAGATGGTGTTCATTTCATTGCAATCCACTTTTTCGTGATGAATGTTGCACCCTCGTCTTTAGCACAGCCATGACTCAATGCTTGAGACATGACGGTTCGCTGTCACCCATGACGCCTGTCATTTTTCATTTTAAATGTTGCACATAGTATTGTATTATGACTAGAAAGAAAGGGTAAATTTTGTTTTTGGTCAAACTTAGCTGATTTTGTCTAGAGGTAGGGGGCAGGTATTTTACACCACCCTTTTATTAAGTTCTTTTTGCCAAAAGTGAATTGTAAATATGAAAGGTATCATTTCAATTCTCTATTCTTCGGCTACGAGCTTCTGCATTTTCCACATCGGGTACGAAGATATAACGATGGAATGATGCGATTCGATGCCAGGTCTCCGTGAAATCCTCGTCATTGTCGATAAGGTTTATGGGTCACAGCAAAATGCGAATGTATCTTTTTTCACTTTTTTGACCTGTGAATCAGCAGGAGTTGCGACGTTGTGGCAGTGACCTAAAGACACAGATGACGTTTTAACTGCTTCACTATCATTCCAGTTTTTTTTTTGGACCACGAGAAAGCTAAGCATTTAATCGAAATACTTCGAAATGAGGCGATTCTTTTGTAGCAACGGCTCATCGTCTCTGATTTTTGGAATCATACTTGCATTTCGGCTTGTGACCAGCTCGTGATCAGTGACCAGTTATAAGCCCCGATAGCTTGCTCTGTTACATCTCACCGAGCATTAAAGGCGTGAAGTTCAACGTATTTTCTATCGATTTGTAAGCCAGGATGTGAAGTGTGCTGCTTCGGAAAAATTTCCTGCCGTGTTTGCGAATCGTTCGACAGGAATGTTGGGGTATCGCATTAAATTTCCCGACGTCTATTACCTATCATTGTGCGGGACTGTATCGTATTCCTGAGGAGTAAGAGAGATGGAAGGAACAAAAGGCGATTATCCATATGAATGATTGGTATCGAATAGGGACCTAATCGAACATGTGGAAGACTCAGGGAGGCCAAAGGGAGAAGACCTTGCTAGGCGTCCCTATTCACGTCATCGGTAATCTATAAGAAACTGAGAGAAGTGTGGCGAATGCGGATTTTCCTCCCTGATATTACTTCATAATACCTCATACCTATGAGCCTGATCAAAGGGGATGGGGGGGGGGGGGGGTCATGATCCGAGCTTACTCGAAGAAACCTATCACCGTTGAGAAGCTGCGCTGATTTTTTCCTTCCTTGATCCGACTCATTTTGTGCGCCTGTATCTACTTTCTACCGTGTGTGATCATAGTTCCAACCCATTCCACTAAACGTGATTTCAACATTTCCCAAATAAAAGTCACATTATGACACTTTCTTTTTATTGAATTTTAGAGTTCGGTGACAGGCGAGGTTTTTCTGTTGAGGGGGAAGTTGGGGAGGAGAAGGAAATCGATATCGGGGTCTTCCCTGATATCCCCGTATCTCTTCATGAGGGAGGGTGGCACCCTGTTGGGTACTCTGCAGGGTATTTCCCGGTTACTCACCTTGTTGGCCGCACCCCGACAGAGTGATCGTGCCAGATTGGGCAGACTCTGTCGGAGACGAGACATGATATCTGGCCTGGCGGAGGTGAAGTGTCCCTGACCGAGACTGCGACGGTGATTTTGTAACTGTCCGTTGAAGAGTTCTCCCGCGTCCCGACGTCGAACTCGGGTCTTCCACGTGCTCAACTGTTCCTCACTGACGACACTGCTGCTGCCGCAGCCACTGTCGAAAGTCGGTTCCGCGGACGACGAAGAACAACTGCTGCAGTCGCAGCAACCGCTTCGACACGTCGCCTCTTCGTACAACGACGAGGCGGATTCGTATTCGTGCTGTTGCACCGTGAGGTCTTCCATGGATCGGGTGGGCCAAACGGGGAAAGTCCGTCGAAACCGCACGGAGCCCCTTTTGGACTTCCGTGTTTGTTCTCTTTCGAAGTCTTGCACTCCGAGACGAGGAGGGAGGGAGACGGGACAGCCCTGGATCTCTGGGATCGGACTTTCTTTGTTGTTGCCCCTCCGGGCTCGAAACATGATTTTCACGGCCAATATGGAGAGTTCGGATTCGCATCCGTGACCCCGTGCGAAATCCAGTAATTTTTTCGCCCCTTGCATCGGCTCCATCCTTGAGTCTAGTTTCTGGATCGCCTCTTCCGGGGTCAACGCCTCCCAGAATCTAAATCAAAATACCATTCATCGATAGGTGGTTGAACCGGTGAGTTAATTTCGTTCGATTGTCCTTATCATCTACAGCAGAGCTTCGCAATCGGTGTGTTTCCAGAATTATAGGGAAAGAAAGAACATACTGTGTTTCATTATTCTGAAGCTACGACGTCAAATGACTAGTGGGTCATAAAATATTATTCCCATTGACATTGTGAAATTTGGTTCGGTATGCTGCGAGGATCGAGCAAACTCGAATGTGTGCCGTGAAATGAAAAAGCTTGAGAAGCACTGATCTACGGGGTATTTTATAAGTTGCACCCATAGGCTAATGTGTCGTTTTTCTTTATCGTTTTTACCGACCGTGCATATGAGTCATGGCACTAGTAAAGGCGAACGTATATAGATAATTTTGCATTTATGCATTTATACAAGGCCACTATATTGAACACATTTCATGGGAATTCCATAGACTGATAGATTGATATTGATATGGTGCGCGACTTATGAGACACCCTGTAGAACGACCCATGGGCAACGTTGTGATTCCGCATCCCTCTATGGAGGGCAAATGGACATCGATGAAGCTATCATGCCTGTTCACTTTTCCATGTTCCCATAGAGAGAAGGAGGCGAGTACTGGAGAAGCCGCAGTATCGAGAAAGTACCGGAGCGGCAACCGATCTTGGCCTCCTCGGTTGCGAGGGATGATGCGTAATCAACGAGCCTCATGGCCGTTCCAGAGAAAGAGGACTTAACGATCGAGAGTACATTATATCGGTAATATTGTTATAGTACGAGGTCTGACAATAAAATAACGAGACTGTATTTTTTAATAGCTATATATTTTATATTATTGTAAACTGTGGTGGTCTCCTTCAAAGTAGTTCCTTCTTGCAGCTATACATGAATTCCAGCATTTTTTTTCCAACTGTCGAAGCACTTCTGGAAGTCAATCTCCTGCAAGATGTTTAGAACGCCCGTCGTAACCTTCCGAATCTCTTCCATGGTTTCAAAATGTGTTCCCTTGTTGTGTTTCTTCACATTAGGGAACAAGGAAAAGTCACACGGAGCGAGATCTGGTGAATAAGGGGGGTGTTCAAGTACTGTAATTGATTTTTTTTGCCAAAAACTCCTAAACGGAAAGTGCTGTGTGTCGGCGCGTTATCGTGGTGCAAAATCCACTTACCGGAGAAAATTCCGGCCTCACACGACGAACCCGCTGTCTCAGACGTTTCAAAACTTCCAGAGAAAACTGCTGGTTGACTGTTTCACTAGCAGGAACAAACTCACCATGCACTATCCCTTTGCAGTCGAAGAAACAGAACAACAAGGTCTTAACCGGTAAATCGGTTGGTTTTTCTTCGAGTTTGATTTTTTTGACGAGTGCCCCTAACAGTACGTTAGGTAAAGTGGTACTGTTCTGCAATCACTGCAAGTATCATGACAAGTTTGTTACTGCACAGACTTAAGACATGCACTGACATTTTACAGCAATCGCCACTAACCCAGTGTTGCCACACGCATTACAGTGTTGTCAGTCTCGTTATTTTATTGTCAGACCTCGTATATATGAGGCTGTACTCACTCCCTGTTGGCAATGATGAGCCAGTGAGTCTTGGGAGGGACAGGGACCTCGGAGACGTGAGGGTCGGGGATGATGCCGACATGCGTGCTCCCTACTAGCCTCGTTGCTTCTTCCACCTTCCCCAGCGGCTAAAGGCAAAAACAATGAATAAGATAACCTCATAGCCATCAAATCAGTCGAGGGAAAAGTCACGGGAAAAAAGCAATGAAACGATGGATTAGCATTATGCAAGATGCAGGTAAAATACCAATTTAGAAATTCAAATGACTTTTTAAAATTAAGAAAGGTATTTAAAATGGGGGAGTTGAAGAATCAAGATGGTCATGAGGAGGGGACTGAATGAATAAATCAACGAATGCAGCAGGACAATTTCGGTCATAATTTACCTGGAGAGAGCCATTCGAGAAGAGATTATGGATCCGTTTCATTTCGTCCTTATTCGAACCCGGGGTGAAGTCTCTGGTGAGAATCTTGAAGTCTCCAGCTGAAGACGGAGTCCCAACGACCGCCTTGGAGTTCCCCACGTTCCCCGTGGTAACTTTGATCGTACCCGCCGGAGTCATCTGAACCAGACACAGAGTGACCCCGGCCCCTGAGCTCTGACCGTTTAGAGAATGCACCTCCCTGAACGATGAAATCCAAACGGTTTGTGACTATTTTGCGGGATTCAGAGGACATTCAAGAGTGGAATGTGAAGCAACAGATACCGGTGAACAGAGAGGAACGTGTGCTTGAGGTAATCCTTATGGGTGTCGGGATTCAATCGCTCCTCGGCCAGATAATTGGGGATGAGAGCGGAAAGCTGCTGGGCCACTTTCGCATTTCCTCTCCCATCGACGATCCCCAACATGGACTCCAAGCCGGAGGGTCCCGACTTGGAACCAGTTCCCATTTGGGTATCGGGACGGAAGTCGGCCACGCGGATCTGACACATGCTACCCCTGTCCGATGCCAAAGCCAAATTCAATCCAAGTCATCGTTCTTCGAATGTTCAGTTCTGTATGCAAGAACAATTTATAGTTATCCATCGTGAGGCCTATTTTGATAGGTATCATCATACCTATTACGATAGGTATTCGTGAATCTTCCTGATGACAAACAACCTCCTATCCATCGTCTCCCGCTCAGGAACAATGGCACATGACTGACCAGAGTGTTGTGTGATTATTTAATGGTATTAATCTGACCCCGTTTATCAGACTAGTGATTGAATTCTGATCGCTGTTGCTTGATACAAAGAATTCTACGGGATTTAATCTATCCCAGAGTAACTGCGCTCAGCATAAGTTGCAACGGTTCACATAATTAATTGGATTAGTAAAATGCACCGCAATCCACTCTGGTAGCTCGTTATAAGCAAAATAAACAAATTCTGGATCATAATAGATTGAAGCGATTCTTATACCTATCATGATACCCTATCATGATAGGTATAAAATGTTTCTGCGTATGGCCAACCTATCAAACTTATCATATGATACCCCCCAAAATAGCTATTTTATCGGTTTTATACGTTCTTGCATACCGATCTTGAACGACCGACTTGAAACATAAATAAATCGTGAACCGAAGGAATAATCTAACTCAAAGTAATAATTCCAAATGGAAAGATCGGATGGAAAACAAACTTTTTGGAAGTGGGGAGGTATTCGGCGAATCCGATGGCCCAAGACCCGACGTTCTCCGTCTTGCAATGTCCCTTCGATGTCGCCACGAGGTGCACCGATCTCCCTTTGCTGCAACAATTAAAAGTAAGTTCATATGCCAAAGTTAAGATAACGAGAAATTAAAACCAGAGCTGTCCAATCGTCATGCCTCCAACCGCGTAGGGAGATCAGTAGAGGAACTGGATATTACGGGGCCAGAGATTGTACTGTATACTGTATGATTGTACTCTATATATCTTATGGAAGGGGCAATGAACAGAGCCGAAAGAAAGTGTCGAATATCCGTTTGAACGTTCTTGGTCTAAGATGAAGAGTTTCTTCCCTCGGTCATGAGTGAGTTCGTGATCGATAACAAGTAGCCTCGAGGTTGATAACTGAGGAAAATACGTATAAGAACCATCTTTTTTTTTGCCTCGACAAACAGAAAAAAGTATACGGTACCTTAAAGAAACTTCTTGCATGCGAGTCAAAAGTAATGCCACAAATTTCAATAATTATAAGGAAAAAAATCCTTATAATTATTGAAATTTACCCTGCAAGCACTTCAAGCCTTCGCAGACTTTCGCAGGTCTTGCATTATACCTCGGATGGGATCTGAGTCGAATGACAAATGGTGGTATTAGATGCTAAACTGAAACGACTGCTGCAACTAAATTCCTGCTCAAAGAAAGTGGGAGTGACAAAGAGTTGAAGGACTGAAAGGAAAGGGGTTCTATCGCCAAAAATTATTTCCTCGAGTACTTCAGGGAAAGAATGCCATAGCTGCTGAGAATGCGGGCAAAGTTGAAGAGCGGATCGGAGAAGATCGTCCGTTTAAATCTTACGGAGATTCCACATCATCTCCCGAAACTTGACAAAATTCCTTGAAGCGATGGAGAGTGAGTTCATCGTTCCGACCCCGAAACGAAGCGCGAGAGCATAGATCTTTCTAAAGGTTTCGCTGTCAACGTTTCCCCGCTGGATTGAAACATCGGGGAAATTCCCAAGAACTTTCAAAAATAACATTTATAAATTCCACACGCCCTGTGCAACACGGCAACGCAAGATCACAAGTGGGCGATCGATCGGCACAATTGCGTTGGTTGGCAACAACTCATCCACTCTGTATTCCCCACTTGGTTCCGTGTTGTTTTCATCTCTTCGGACCAATAACGTACAGTACTTTCTCCTTGAGACGCAATTTCGAAGCGATGAAACTGTGAAGCTAAATGTTCGTCGGTGGCTTTTAACTCAGCGGCAGAATTTTCAAGTTTCACTTTCATTGCCCTCATACACCGGTGGTGGGAATAAGTAGATCGTAACGGTGACTACGTTTAAAAACAAATAGAAACCTAAAGTGCACGGTTCGAGCAAAATACGAAAACAGGAAGTGTTAGACGGTAGCTTTGCTCAGCATGACGATAATCGAAACCATGAGTACAACGGCAACATTTACACAAAATCCTTGGGATCTCTTTCTGGGAAGGCTTTCCTGGTATCCAAGTAGGATCAATGAATCTTCATTCTCATCACTCCACCATCAAGAAATCGAAGCGAAGCGAAACGCAAAGCGAGATGGCCTCAATGATTGCATCACCCCTTTTCGTTCTAATGACCAACTTCTGAACCTGGAGAGCCGAAAATTCGGCGGAATCTCTCTAAGATACACTACACTGCAATTTCTCCATGAGGAAGGGTGTAGAATCTTGGCGCATATCAGGGCCGACTTTCAATTAAAATTCATGTCTACTTTTCCCCTTTTAATTGAAGCCTTGAAGTTTCCATGTAATATGGAGAGCAGAGAGAAATACAATGCACTTCTGGGTCGCGAAACACTCATTCCATTTCCGTCGATATATTCATCTCGAAAGAGAATCGCGCAAGTATTTTCTGCAATGGTATGCTCAAAAGTGTCGATGAGAGACTTGCATTACATGATTTGCTCTTAGCCATTTTTGAGGTTATGGTTCTTTGAGGATCATGTTAGGACACAGAAACTGTTGTCGGCACTCGATAACAGATACACGGTATCAAGCCTTCAGAGGAGGATTTAGCTCGCAGACCAAATGGCAGAGGAAATGGTGCGGAAGTGATTTTAGATGAGAGCGTCTTAATCGATGATTCCAGGCCCACTAGAGGCTTCAAGGTCATGAGCGACTTAAAAAAAAAGTATGTTTATCGCCGGATCAGAGCAACTGTGAAAAGTACAATCGGCCAGCAGCTCTTCATTGGCAGATTTCGTTTCGTATGAGTGCCGAGATTTTCGCCTGATCTGTCTAGAAATGTTTTGCAAGAGACACAATCGTTGAAGTTCTTACAGAACATGTTTGTCTGTTTTTGAAATGAACGTGTTGTCAAGCGAATGAAGCTCGTTACCGTAACGAAAAAGTGTCCCAGAAGTTTATATTTTTTAATGATCTATGATCCTGAAACCAGATCTAGCTTCATATTTCCTTCTTGTAGTCACTTCATTTGGAATATGCGCCTAGCCTGGAACACCAGATACATGGAGGTCAGTCATCCTCATCTTCACTGGGCTCCTTTAATCATGCGATCATGCATGATTCTCGCACCTGTCTCGGCTCTTTCATTTAAACTGCACTTTCCAGACTTATCCAATTTACACCAGAAACTCACGTAAATAAAAACCAGAACCTCATATCAACAAGAGTTTTAAAAAAAACCGGTGCCCCTCAACAAGGACTTCACGCTTCCCACTCCCTTATTAGAAAAAAAAAGCGAGCGTCAATTTCCTTTCCTCTCTGATGAGGGATGAAAATTAGATGAAAATTACTCTGATGACTTCTTCTTGCACTTCCAGTTTTAAAAAAAGGAGGGTAAATGAGCAAAAAAGGAGGATAAATGAGAAAAAAGGAGGATAAATGAGAAAAAAATGAGGAAAACGACTGTGCAAAGCGCAGGGAATTTTGGCCTATCGAAGAATTCCCATTGCTGAGAAGACAGAAATGATATCTCGAGGAAGTCTGGTGAGAGCACTGAATGAGAGCTGGAGCAGCTGTGCTCTCGTTTTGACGATCAAATGGATGGTGTTCCCATTCCTCTGCTCTATACGCTAATAAACCGCTAGAAGGGATCATAAATAAAAATGGTCTTAATTTTCAAGGGAACTCGTTCGAAGGGTGTTCTCGTAATATTTTTTTTATAATTGGAAGGAGAGTAAAATAACGTAACTGAAAAATTTACTTTTGATTTCAGCGAAAAGGAACGATAAGCATATTATATTTCTCCTTAACCCAGATATGCCTGGCATTCTTTATGGAGGCGCATCTTTGCACAACGTCCTACATATAGAACGTCAGGCATATCTGGGTTAAGGAGAAATATCGTATGCTTATGCGTACATGGGATTGGGAAAACGCCTTCACAATGGAGCAGACGTGGCCCGAAAAGCAAGATTATGGATGGAAAGCAGGGATTCGTTAATAAAATTCAAGAAAGCATACCAGCAAGTCTTGAGGCTGCGGGTGTCGAAGGCAACCTGAGGGTTGCAACTGAGGTCCAGCATCCTCATCGACGAAGAGACGGATGTTGGGAACCTCACGTCCGCCAAAGCGTTGAAAGACACATCTAAAACCTGCAATCGCATCAAAGCCTCGTTATCCAAATCTCGTTCGGCGTATCCCTTCCAAGTAAACATTTCCACGCCTTTCCAAGTCGGCAATGCCCAAATTCGAAAAATGGAAACGGTCTCGTAAAAGTGAGAGGAAGCCTCACCTCCATGTTGCAGGCAGACAAGAGATCGGGAAGATTCGTTATACGATTGGAGTGAGCGACGACGGCCCGAAGGGAAGGGAGGGTGGAAAGACTCCCTGGAAGACGATCCAGGCCGTTCCCCGATCCCACAATTTCCTCCAGGCAAACCAGGCTCTTCATCATGCTGCAACCGTAAACGAGCGAGACGTGAAAAGCCTCATCAGAGTCGAGGAGAAGGAGAGATGAATGCGAAACCGACTCGTCTGGGATGCGTTGGATTTCGTTGTAGGCGATGTGAAGGGATTTCAGGTGCATGAGGTGGGTGAGGGGGGCGAGGGAAGGTCCGTTGAGGGCATTTCCCGTCAGTCTCAAGTCCATCAGACACGGAACCTGGTCTGGAGACACTTCGATGTTCACGATCCCGTTACTGCTCCCGTTTATCCTCCAAAGGCTACATTTCAAAGTAGAAAACGTCAACTGCAAAAATATGAATGCCGTGACGAGGTTTGGTACGGTGCGGATGTACTGACTTGGGTAACTTGAAGAGAGACTGAGGGATGGTGCGAACACGATTGGAATGGAAGTCCACTTCCCGGAGCCCACTATCGGAGTGGAATTCTGGAAGCGCCTCCAGCCCGTTGTGATGAAGGGCGAGGGAACGGAGATGTCTCCCGTTCCAGAACGGTTTGTCTGTCAATCCCAACCATTTGATGGAGTTCCAGCTGATGTCGAGCACCTCCAGGTTCCCTGCCGTCCCCAGGCACGCTGGCACGGAGCCCAACCTGTTCCTTTTCCGTGAGAGAGACGCGTAATGCAACGTGAGCGATGAATCGAGGAGAATGAAGACGGCGCTGGAATTCCCGCATAAGTTCCGATTGATGCAGTACAGCATTGCCTCGCGGTCGGCAAGTGAACAATAAATCTCATTTCACTCTAAGAGACACGGGTGAGGTTCTTTTTTAGTTACTTCACTGGCGAAGGCAACAGAATCGGTCGTTATGCAACAAACATGAAGTTACTCTCGATAAAGTTACTTCCAGCCTATGCAACGAAGCTCAGCCGAATGCAAAATAAAATTGGCAAATAGTCCTCGTACTGGGAGAAGTTGTGTATGATCGTTCCACAGATATGGATGAAATTTTGCATGCACCTTACTGAGAAACGAATCTCTGCGATTCGTTCTGCTTCGATACTATTGGTTTCCGAGATATGGATTCATAACATGCTGACCTCTATGAGGCCCTTGCAATATAAGAATACAAGGTAGCTCAAGAATTATTTGAGCTGCACTAATTTCCTTTAGCTCATCTGAGAGTTCCAGCAGACTTCTTTCATTATATATTATTAAAGTGACTCCCATGGCAGAAACAAGGAAGTCATCATCTGACTGAGGTCAACAGCCTTTTGCTTCGCTTTTTTGCCGAACTCCATTTCAACTTATTTTAAACTTCCAATAATGAGGTATCGCTTCTGCTATCGAATAAAAACATTACAACTTTTAAAAGGTTAGTTATGAGCCAAGTGTACTTTAAGTGCAGGCGTATAGAATGTCGTATAGACGTACATTTCTGTCCAAAATACATTTGTCTTGAAATTTTCATTTGAAGTGCCGATATAATTTTAATTGTTTTTCCAATACCAAATGATAGGTGCCAGACAATAGAAAGATTATGAAGAATGCGATAGACACGACGATAGTGATCAAGAAGAACGATAACAGGGGACTATGTTTTCGAACTAAGAATTGACCTTGGAAGAAAAGCCGTGGCATGAAAGACCCCATTGATTTCTTCCCTGGAACTCTCTGGGGACCATAATAAGGCTCGCGTATACCAATGTGTATTCAATACGTATGACTTATGAAAGGGGATGGAAGGGTGATAATGGATGGAGGTGAAGTAAAGTAAAGTCAAGGGACACAATAGGCTAATGAGGTTCCTAGGGCTTATTTCGGTCTTCCAGCCCGATGATCAAAGGCTCCCGGGGTTCTTTGTATGCTAATGACTCGAACTCCTATCCATTATATGCAAGAGAAAGGCCTCGAGATGAACTTACCGGGACAAATCGAGTTCCCGCAGCACTCCGCAGGGTCCCAAAATGGAGACGCACCGAAGTCCTGCACAATAAACAAGGTAGAGCCAGTGTGAAGAGACGGCTGAATGCATACGGGTACACGATGAAAAAAAAAATCAGCAGCCTTGCTGGAAAAAGCCCCGGTTTGGTATCGATTTGAAATCTCTGCGAAGAAAAGAGGGCATGGGATCGGTGAAGGTTCAAGGTTCCCTAACGATCCCGCACGATACGAATTGCCGTGTGATCGCTGGATTTTTCAGAGAACCCACGGAACATTGACAGCCATGGACAGGCTGGATGCCATGGATGGCAGTATCAGCGGATGTGAGAAACTTTTCACCGATTCTGGCCTCCAAAGGCAAGTACCCAGGGCTCGTTCCAGGCAAAGAACGGAACATTTTCTAAAGAATATTCTATGCTTACCATTGTGAGAGGCGAGGAGGCACTCCAAGGCGAGTCCATTCAGCAGAAGTTCCTGAAGGGCATTGTGGTCGCAGACTAACGTCCTCAACGTAGTCAGTTGGCTCAGGTCCAATCGTTCAAGGTTATTTCGACTCACATCGCAGTAACTCAGGCTCTGTCAGATATTTTCTCGTGTCGATCCCGATTTCCCTCAAAAACGAAAATTTGAGAAGGGAAGCTCGCATACCGAAAACTGAGTGAGGACGAGATGTCCTTTGAGGTCGTTCAAAGACGCGTTCAACCACTTGAGGCTCTCCAGACTCGGGAAATCCAAAATGGTCTCGAGTTCGTTGCCCTCAAGATCCTGCGGGTGGGCAAGGACATGTCTCTGTGTCGTGTAATTACCAGAAGTCCAATGTTTTCTTTTCAAATTTTACCAGTTTTTCCAGGGATTTGAGATGCTGAAGAACGTCGGGGAATTCCTTGAATCTGTTCCAGTTGAGGCAAAGCCTCTTGAGGTTGCTCAAAGCCGACAATCCCGCTGGCAGGGTTTCCAACTGATTGCTCTGCAAGTTCAGCTCCTGCAAGCTGCTCGAACGTATTTAGAATGCAAAAAATTAAAAATTAACGAACGAAAATCAGCGATTGAGAATTGATGATTGGAAGAATCAATCGTCATAAAATAATTATACTGCGTGAAAAGAGATGAAGATTTCAGATAATCTAATTCAGACTATTTCCTCTTTCGATGCGAATTGGAGTGGGACCTTGTCCACACCAGGAAATTCTCTCCAACTTTTATTTGCAAGCCGACTCGAAAAGAAAACTTTCTCGGCGAGGACGCCTTCGAAAGTTTGCTTTCAAGAACTCCTTTCGCAATATTCTTTGATTGGCGATGGGAGAAAACTTTGCGATGTGGGCGAGTCCTCATGCGGTCGGTGTTAACGACGCATCTCGTTAACGAAATCTATTACCTGGAAGTCCCCATAAGTCTCGACACGCTCCGCTCAACTCTTCCAGGGAGTCTTCCTTCGATTCACGAGGATTTCAAGGACAAGAAGAAGGTCTCGCTAAACGCCCCTTACGAAAAATCCACACATGTGGACTACCCTAAGTCCACCGGAGGATTTGAATGAATCCACATGTGGATTAAGAGGATCCACATAGAGTCCACACTTATGTCCACATTAGTCTCCCTGTGGACTTGTCCACATCAGTCCACAACAGTCCACATTAAGTCCACACTATTCCACATGGCTAACTGTCAGTCCACATGCGGATCCCCCGGAGGATTTGGATAGTCCCCCAGTGGACTACAGGGGGATTTTTCGTAAGGGGCCAGTTTCGCCTCTTTTTGCCGGAGAATTTGTTTGTCAAAGCCGTAAAGAGAATCTCGTGATTCCAAGTTCTTATCATGTTTTGTTTCGGCAGAAGAGTAAAAGATTACATTACATCCGGTTCATAACAAGCTGAACAAGGCATGGTCCAATTAGAGAGCTTCCATTACTGAGGCACGTAGACAGTGAAGGAAGTAAGGCCAATTTAATTTTAGCTCAGACATTGCTCCTGAGGTTGCAGTTACGTAATGTTTGCCTTTTCTTTACGGACTAAATTTAATAACGTCAATGTAAAACAGAATCAGCAATGAAATTATGTTTTCGTTAGACCGGGAGACTCCTCCGTTCCAAACTGTGGAGCTTAGAGGTAAATGCATTGGGCTATTGCATACCCTTTAAGGGTAAAGGTTCTAGTTAAAAGAGTGTTCGTTTGTGCAGCATGGAGAATGTCGTAGAAATAGAGTTGTGCGGTACTTGGGTAAAACCGAAAAGCTGCTGTACCGGTAATTTGAAGTCTCGATTCTGGTAGCGAAGCTCAGTCATCGCGCACAGTGATACCGAAGGTATCGATAAAATCAATGAATCTGGAACTCTGACTTGTCTTGGCAGCCAACCCCCCCCCCCCCCCCCCCCCCCCCCCCCCNCCCCCCCCCCCCCGCCCCCCCCCCCCCCCCCCCCCCCCCCTCCCCACTCCCCTTCACATTTGCCTGGCTCAGAGAGCCTACTAAATAGCGCGGTACCGGATCCTCGGTACCGCGGTTCCAACTTTACACAATCGTGCGTGGAAAATCTCTTTGTCCCGCGTAGGAAGTTCAATGTCCGCCTTCGCTGCTTTCCGTCCCTTCTTTTTCTCGAGTTGCCTAATCAGACACCCGATGAAACCAGGCGTTACGTTTCGGAGTCGGAGAGCAGAAGACAGACCTGATGAGTTTCCCCACGTCCTCGGGAAGGGACCTGATGCGGTTGAAGCTGAGGTCCAGGGCAGCCAGCCGATGGAGAGAAGAGAGAGATTCGGGGAATCCCTCCAATGCATTCCCGCTCAACGAGAGCGTTCGAAGCCGTTGCAACTGCTGCAGGTCTCCCAAGGCTCTCCCCGGAAATCCACTCCCTCGAGGCGGATCCTGGTCGTACATTCAAACTTGCATCATCCGATACGAGACTTTTTAAGATCCTTTTTTTCTTTACGACCTCGGAAGAACGAAAACAGAAGAGCCCAACCTTAATGCATGCGTGGTTCGATCGCATTACGGATGTTCTTTCGTGGCCGTTGTATTCCATGGCGACAGTAATCGCTGTACTTTGTCCGTATCCATGACCAAAAAAGAAAGAAGTAATTCACCTATAACTGGATCCCCTTTATGATTGACCGAGGATGCGAGGAAAAACAGGGGAGAACATGGATCAATTAGCGTGGGAGGGAGTGGAGTGCGTAAACTCGGAATAGGAAATGAAGGATGGAGTTCATCTGGAACCCTCATTAGAGACGGGATTAATCAGAAGGGAAATCTCATCAGCGCCCTGCATATATACCGGAAGGTACATTATCATCTCTCGTCTCTTTCATCCCTACTGCAAGGCTTCGTCATCGTCCTCCCGCTTCATGTCCTGCATAACGCGCTGGGGGGAAAGGAAGCTCTTTACTTCCGTCTCAGTTCAACGGGTACGATAGAGATCTCAAGTGGCAGACGCATTCTACGGGATTCCGTCGCACGATAGAGAGAGGGCCGGATAAACTTTTTTTTATATCTAAGCCAATAGCCACTAGAAGAACTACTTCCAAATTCCATCCACCACAAGATAAGAGAGGTTGACTGATGAAGTATTCGCGAATATCGGCCTTATTTTCTTCTACGTGGATGGCAGGACTCTATTGACAATATACAGTTCATGCTCACCTTGAGGCAGTTCCTGGAGAGGTCAAGGGACGTAAGTTTGGGGCATTGGAACAGTCCTTCAGGTAAACAATCCAATCCATGTCCACTCAGGTCCACGGCTTCTGGGGATCTCTGAACGCCCTGAAACATCCGGAATTCCATGACATTCCCGAAACTCGTTCTCGCATCGATCTTTAATTTTGTGTCTCGGATACCGACCTTTCTCAAATATCTGCGGCGGGACCGATATGTAACCTGAGGTCGATCGTCTCCGATCATATATGATAAAGGACGAGGAACCGTTACTTCACGGCACGAAAGGACACACGACCGCCCGACATGATTATGCGGAGAAAAAAGAGATCCGACAGAGGGTGGTATGCACTATGCACTATACACTATGCGCGTATGGAAGACGGTGTCACCGTAGACCAGCCAAGCATGTATGATGTGCCACTCGGACGGGCAGAGTACAGTACGTTCTCTAGGCGTGGGCCACTGCGATGTGAAGAAGCCGTGACGCCGGATCCCCGATTTATGAATCCGATATCAACTGCCTCAACTCCATTTCTTTATTTTTTTTTTACTTACTAGGAAGACATCCATTGGTCGGCGAAACAAAGGATGCCCTTCTTTGTGCGTACATTATCAACGTTCTGGGTCACTATCATTTGCACTAAAATGCCCGCGATTCAATATTCGCAGGGAGATATCGAGATGATAACGTATTCATGGTCCTTATGGAAAGGAACCTTCTTTAGAAACGATTCTATGCGACTTTACTTCCTTGTTGCGAAAGAGTATAAAGAAATATGAAAGAGATTGAAGAAATGAGGGAGAGAAGTGAGGCGAAAGAAATATTTTTAAAAATTCACTATTGAACAATTGCTATAGAAGTGCAGTTATTAACAAATTTTAAAAACCTTACTGTCATATAGGCCTTGGTGGTTCATTTATTCCAGTTGGAATTCTAGGCATCTGAGCGAACCAATAAAACGTGAGACGGAACTCCATGACGAAGTTAGAATAAAATGCACGAAAGAGCACAAAGATAGGCGTAAGTAAATGGTGTAATTAGCATTATAAGTAATTAGTGCAATGCGTGAGATCAGTTTCACTTGAACTAATCTCATTCCATAATGAGTTCCTTTGAGAAATCGGATTAATTGAGTTAATTTTCCGAGCAGTCCATTTGATAACACCTGTCGGAGTTCCACCGATTTCGTGCTCACCGGACCAAACCCAAAGTCTCTCGATTCCCGAGCGTTGTTTCCTCGAAACGAGTCGAGATGAAAGGCGAGTTGCATCGTGGACGCGAGATGAAGGCCTGCTCCTATAAATGCCCCAGGCTATCTGAGCTAGAAAGGCTTAAAGATGCGAGGATGCACAACAGTAAGGAGTCCCGTCTCATACTCTCGTTTGCAGCTCTTTCTTTTCGTCGTTGACTAAGTACCCTGGAACTGTTTTCGCCGGAGGGAGCTGCAATGCGTCCTTCTTAGGATGTGCTTCCTTCCGCGTAACGGCATCGAGGGTGCAAAAGGGGAAACATGGGTGTGGCTAACGTAGGTGTATCTTTCCGTGCACGAGCGGAAAAGAATCCGTGCGAGTTGTCCCGCTGCCGATCGGTAACGATCTGTCGAGGAAAGATCTCTTCTAGTCGTATCCCATCAATTTGCTCATCGCGGATAATAATAAAATCGTAGAATGTCTGCGCTCGGAGTTTACGAAAAACGGGTTTAGAAGCGAGAAAAGGCTGCGCCTGAAAAAAAAAAGAATGCAGAACTCGCTGACCTGGTTCAAAGCGTTGTACCAAGCGGTCCGTTCGTCTTTCGTCTGGAATCCGAGAAAGACCTTCGACCTCGCGTTCGATCTCGAGGGAAGGACGTAGGTGATCTTTAGGGGGAAATTGCAGCCTCGCAAGGGCGCCACCTCGACGACGTCTTCCACCTCGGCCGGCGTCTGATCCCACACCTCTATTCCGACGAATCTTCAGTTACCGAGCGAGGACCACACGGAGTATCTCAGAGTGAAAAGTAGATTCTACCTGAGTGGATGGAGAGGAAGTTGCGGAAGGCCAGGCAGAACCGGGGTTTCCACTTGGGGAAGGCCAGGCCTCGGAGGAGTCCCACCACTCCGCACACGAAGTCCTTCGAACCCGTTTCTGGATCACCTGGACATTCGGAATGCACAGATTCATCATCAAAATTAAGCCAGGTCCATTCCGCATGATCTGAGAGCACTGGACTTAGGAGGATCCCATTTCTGAAGCAATGAGGCCAACTTCAGGCAAGGGGGATTCGGAATTGGGCTTCCTGATCATTTTGGAAACCTTGTGGATATGTGAGATAAAGGCAGTGTAAATTATTGCTTTCTATCCCCCATTCCTCCCCCAGCCCCCCACCCCCTTCCCCTTGGAGGAAGAAAACATAAATGACCTCGGTAGCGACGAATTGAAAAAGTATAGCGCATATTGGGTACATGTACACGAACTACGAAGTACCCGATCTTTCGGAGACCAATTTCACCGAACAAATTATCCATACTGCGTGGAACCAAATGATTGTGCAATCATTTGAACCAACCATTCGAAACGTTCATAGTTATTTATAGCAGTAATTCACTTCGAATGTTGAGGGATGAATATCATCATATGAGAACCAAACATCTCATGTAGTAGATGTGTCCTCCTTTGTTTTCAAAGGTTTGTCGTCGAGAAGAGCAAGAAAAGTTGAAAAGGTGAAGCTCTTCTTCAGAATCTTCCGCGCTCCTTTCCAAAAAGAGATTAAAGCCAAAAGCTCATATTTTCCTTGGTGTGGATTATTAGATAGTATCCACTTGAATTTCCTCTGAGGGAAGTTAAAGGAACTCATAAAAATTGATTTATGGAATGATTTTTTGGGGAAAAAGAGCTTTTTTCGCAATAAAATTGTATTTATTTATTTATTTAGAGGAATGAGATGCCTTCATTTCTCTTGAGGCCAATTATAGGGAGCAGAGGGACTGTGAAATCACGGAAAGAGCCTACTTGCTTATTCTTCCTCCTTCGCAAAGAAAATAAATGGAAGAAAGGCTTTCCTCGTCGGTTATTTTTCACACTAAATTACTTTTTCAATGGTTTGATATCCTTGTGATAATTTTGCACAAAAACAGCAATAATCGCCAACTAAACCCGAAAATTAAAACTTGTACAAGGGGGCGAGCCAAGTAAAATGAATTTGACCTTCGCCTTTCCCCTCGTCTCATCTCAATCGATTAAGAGCCAATCAGTGCCAACAATTCTATTGTGCGAAGAACGACGGAACCCATGCGAACTCGAGGTTGGGGTTTCGTGCAAATACGCTTTTGACATAGATCGTTTCGTTTCCCGTTTTTCTTTCAGAAGGAAAAACAAATATTTATCTGTACTTCGTATACTGCGAACCCAATTCGATATTCTCCCCTTAATTTGACAGATACATGCAGTTCCACTTTCCATGAAATCGGTGCTGCAGCATCGAATCGGCACCTGCCGGGGGAAATCCTCGCAAACAGCGTTAGTCTTGCGCTTCAACACCGCTTCTTTTGCGACGCGGTTTCCCATACGAGTGTATTGCTATCCCTCTGAGAATCTAGACGACAAATTGGACGAAAAATGACCGTTTTCTTCACCATTTTCCCTAAAAAACGTATTACGCGTTGCAGAAGTGGAATTTCTCCTAATCTTGCTACTTATGTTGGCATAAATCTTACTTTCTTTCAAAAAATCACACTCCTCCTCAATTAATGCATAGAGCAACTGGAGGGAATGAGTTTGTAGGGAATAAGGGTATCTATCTCTTCGTGTTCCCTCGCATTACTCCTGTCGAGAGAGACGCACGAAATATATCATTAGTTCCTGATGTTCCTCGTGTAGTGTTTCGTGTTCCGAGATGTGTTTCTGTTGGCAGCATTTAAAATAGCACGGTTTTCCTTTTTTCGTCGTTGCAATATTTCCGAGGAATCGATATTTAAGTGCTCGATGGATCGGCAAGAGAGTTGCGCGACTTTTGATTATCCGAACCATCACGCGAAATAGAATCCGAGTTTGACGGTGCCATTTGGGGTCATATGAGCACCTCCCGTCGGGGTGAATCAGCACTCCGATAAGGACTGGTGATTCGTGTTTCAGACGCCAAGGAATTCAACGAGCACTCCGATGGACATATGTGAGACAGAAAAGACGGTCGACCTGTTTCACACGGTTCCGTGACAATCATGCCGGATGCTCGGCATGCCGGCACTTAATTTGCCGGGATTGCGAATCGCCTAAGATAATTTTTTTTTCTTTTAGGCGTGGGGAACTCGAATGCGTAGTTTTCTGTCGGTCTGTTTCGTGAAACTCTCAGAAACTCCCTTGCGTTGCAAACCACGGTGTTTTTACTATTATGCTCGTTTTAAACTCTCGACTGCCCGTTTTATCCCGAACAGATGGGGAAATATGGGCATGCAGAAGGGAGAATATTTTCATTTCTTCTTTGTTATCGCTGGAATTCGTATCAGCGTGTACGCTTCTTCCAGAATAAGTTTCTGTTGCAATCGGGAAATTGTGGTCTCTCCATTCATGGAACTTGTCACGTGTCACGCTAAACACCGTTAACATGCTCAAGTTCACCTAAGTCACACTACCCCGATAGCATAAAATCAAGCAATTGCGGGAATCTTAAAAATGTCCAGGGTCATTTTCATCAAGTTCTTCCAAAGGGTTCACCTTCAACGCAACTTTTAACATTATTTATCGACAACTCAACTGATGGATTTAGTTTTAAATGTCCATAATTGGAATCCATCCGTAACTGCTTCTCTCTTTCCTTAAAAATGATCATCCACGGAGGCGAAAACCATGCGACGCCATCGGAAGCGAAAAAAAAAGAACTGGAAAGAGAACATCGGCATCGTGCGGATCGGGAAGTGACAAGAGCATTAAGATGGATCGTGGAAAAGGAAAGAGGGGGAACGAAGGGGTTGGGGGGGGGGGGTGGATTATGACGAGGCGGAAGGAGAACGAGATTATGGACGCCGGGTTTTCACGCCGGGTTGCGTGACCTTTCACGCCTTACTCTCTCCGGCGGAACGCGTCATGATGGAAGGAGATGGATCCCGATGGATCCTCGTGGAATCCCCATAGGATCCTCATTTCCATTCCCTTCGCGAAATGCATTTGCTCGAACCGTTCTCTTTGTGACCTCCTTCGGCTTTCGACGCCCCAAATCGGCGTGGAGGGAAACGCGGGGATTCTCGACGGGGCGGAGCCGTGAAGGATGAGCCTCGGAGTCAAATGCGTTTCTGCAAAGCCTCGGTTCGTGGCTCGTCGGTAACGACACGTTTCGCGTGACTTCGTCTCGACGGCGATTCGCATGGCACGAGCCGTAAGAGAGAGGCGAGCGTTTTCCATTTTTAGTCCGTGTCGTTTTCGACGACATCTTCGTTTCCGCTTTCCGTCGGATTCTCCGCAAAGGAAGGCAGAGATTCACGAGGACGAGTCGACGTGGCGGGCGATGTCGTATCGAGGAGTAACATTTAAACGCATCATAATGTATTTTTCGCCATCATTTATGGTCGATGAGACCTGGGGATTTTCCCGCTGCCATGAGCGTTCGATCGTTCGGCATTTAAGGAACTTAGAAGAACAAAGACCTAGAGAAAATGTTTAGATCTCTTTTCGATACGATAATTTTCCGGCGTTTTTTCAACGGTGGCCGAAAGAAGCAAGCGCGGTCCCTTACGACGACCCTCGTGAAATGCTCCACCCCACCCACCCATGTGCGAGCAACCCCCTCCTCAAAAAAAAAATAATAATAATAATAATATATATACTGTATATAACAGAACAAAAAACGAGAGAGTTCCAGTCGTGAAAACGGATCCGGCCGGGCCCTGCGGAAGCGAGTCGTACGGAAGCAAACCGTGGCGTGACCGTGTGCACGACCATCGTTTCGCAAGTCAGCTGCGGATGAGCCTCATAGTCGGAAGCAAGGAAAAGCAACCGGGTCTTTCCCGATTCATCCATCCGGAAGAAAACGGGAAAGCCGTCTGGATCGAGTGGAAGCATCTCCCGATCTCTCGAAGGCTCTTCTCTTCTCCCGCATGCAACGAGTGCATTTCCCGTCGGACCGATCGCGATCTTTTTTTATTTCTAGAAAGCGATCTCGCGAGAAGCGACGTTTCCGTTTACGTCACAGGAGCGATAACTCGTGACGGATGGCGGCATTTCCTCTCCCGCACGATACGACGAAACCGTGTGCCGTTTGGCGTTCGCTTTAACGTCCTCATCGTTTGACGCGTGCCCATTCGGGGAACCGGGGACGACGTGGACTGTGCCTGGCTGTGCCCAGCTGTGCACACGTGGGCCTCGAATCCCATCCAAACGAGAAGGCGGGTTTGCGCAATCGGGCGCATGGGGGAGGCAAGGCCGGCACAGGGCCGGCACAAGGTCGGCACACGATCCTCACGAGAAGAAAGGGAAAGCGAACGAGAGGAAAGCAAAGGAGGAAAATCCTCGGGAATCCTCTCGGGAAATCGGGAATAAATGTGCGAGAGGTCCGACATCGAAGAACATCGGTACCTTTAGGGGCCAGGCTCCTCGGGACTGGGAGCCTCCGGGGTTCGTCGGACACCTCGGAAACTCGTCACCGTACGAGGATTCCATTCCTCTTCCTCTCTTTTTCGTTCCCTGGTCTCTGCGAAGTCTACCGACGACCGCAGGTCGAAGCGACTCGCGAGACGAGACGAGAGAAAAACGCCTTTCCCACGGCCGCATCTCCCGTCGACGCGCACCGAACGAGATCGCGATCGGCCGAGCTCTCCGCGAAAACGGCGACCGGATCGTCGAGGGAAAACGCAGCGCGAACGAGAGCATCCTTGGCGGAGGCGAAGGAGCATCTCTCGTCGCGGCGAGAATGCATTCGTGCATCTCGACCTCGTCGCCATCGATTGTCGTCTTCGTGCGACGCAGTCTCTCTCGCCGCCCTTTGCGTCCTCTCTTAATTGCCATTGATTTGTTTTTCGGGAATTCGGAGAGGAATGCGGAGGAAACGACGAAAGCTGTGCGGCAAGTCGCAGCAGCCGAGTGAGGGTCCGTCGGACGAAGCCCCAAGAAGAAAACGGCCCTTCCAGACCTAGACTCCCTCTCTCTCCCCCCCCCCCCTCTCTCTC